CCACCTTGTGCTATGTCTTATCGGGACCCACCTGGGAATGGATACACTTGTCCCATGTGCAACCCCACAGATGTGGCCCTGACTGTGACCCCAGCCACGCGGGGACGTGGGGGTCCCACACTGACACCCAACCCTGGGCATGGATAAGCACAACACTTAGGAAATATAATATTTATTTGGGATTTAAAAAGAAAAAAAAAAAAAGAAAGAAAACAACACGGCAAAGAACACATCCATAGGACAGAATGGAAGCAGCTGTTGAGACAACACCTTTGTGGGACATCACAGCATCGGCACAACCACTGCTGCAGGGACAGCAGGTTAGACGCCGTCCCTTGGGGTGCTTAGAAGACAGACAGACAAAAAATAAAGCTTCTCTCCCCTCGGTGGCCTTTATGGGTGTCTTTCACCAAAATAAGCCAGCAGCCCAAGGGGAGCCAAGGCCACCTCCAAGCCAACGTTGGGTGCAGTGGGATGGGCGCACCCGCCTGCTCCGTGGCACCAAGCACAGGGACAGCTGCCACCAGCTTGGCACGAGTCGTGGGCATGATGACACGCAGGGAATGGTGACGGCGCGGCGTGGCTCCTTCCACGTGCCGTGGTCATTGAGCAAATGCTGACTGCAGCTCCTTGAAGGCTGCCTTGCGCTGCTTCATCTCCTCCGCCTGCCTCCTCTTCTCCTCCTGCTCTGCACGGATCTCCTCCTCAAAGCGGCTGCACTCGGTGACCGCCTGTGCCTGGGGATGGTGGCACATTGGCCCCGTCCCCATTGTGTGCAGCATGGTGGCACGTTGGTCATGTCCCCAACGCCCAATGGTCGCTGCTGTGTTGCTCAACACTTACCTTGGCCTCGAAGAAGCTCTTGGCTCCCTTCACGCCCTCCGTTGAGACGTCAATCTCGGAGAGCCGTGCCAGTGCATGCAGCCCGCTGTCCTCCTGCAGCTCACCTGCTGCTGCCTTGCGGAAAATCAGCAGGAACTGCAGCATGGGGTGGGATATCAGCACCAGGGATGTGGCATCCAGCTCCTCGCCAAGGGTCACAGCCACAACCCAACCCCTGCGCTCACCTCGCGGAAACTCAGCTTGCTGTCCAGGTCCTCGTCCACCTCCTTGATCATGTTCTTCAGGCCCAGGTGGGTCTGCGGCGCTCCCAGCTTCTCCATCATCAGCTTCAGCTCCATCAGGTCGATGAAGCCATCCTTCCCTGCGTCATACCTGCGGGGAGGTGGTAAATCCTCATCGCGGGGCACATCCTCACTGTCGCGTTGGGCTGCTGTGCCAAACCACTGCTGGTTCTATCCAACCACTAATGGTTCCCAGGAGCATCCTCAGCACTCCCTGCTCATGGAGTGTGGTTTCTGGCACAGGTACTCAGCAGCTTGCTGCCAAGTGTGCCACCAGCTCCGTGCAGCCTGTAGGACTGAGCTGGGCTCTATAGGATGCACTTTCCACTTCTCTTTGCTCAGCCTACAGGAAGCGACATGCAGCTCTGTGGGGCTGTGACTCATTTGTCCCCGCAGCCGCAGCATGGTGCAGCTCACATTGTGCCCCGGCACAGAACCCTCGTGCTTTCCTGCTGGCATCGCAGGGCTGTGAGCTCCGCTGCTGCAAACTGAGCCCCTGGCTGCAGCTCTGCATCCACTGGGGCGGGCTCTCCTGCGTCGCAATCCTTTAACGCAGCGGGGGAAGGTGGGAGAGAGGACAAACCATGCATGCAGCGAGGCAGGGGCTAGGCTCGGCCCCACACCGTCACCCCATCCCCATGCTCCCCCCCTTGGTGAGCCCCCTTTGCTTCCTCTCGCTGCGGTGCGTGCAGGCGTGCACGTCCTGCTCTGCAACCAGACCCCGTGCTGCTGCCATCTGCCCGCGGGCACAGCACCCACGGCCACATGCTGCACAGTGCATAGGGCTGGGAGGAGGCTGATCCCCTCCTTCTACAGCCCCTATTTTCCCCCTGCACATTTCCACGCCTTTCTGCTCAGCTCCCCCCCCCACTGACCCAAGCTTGCAACATCACACGTGGGGACACGTGGGGATGGCACCGAGGATGTGACAACGCCACTGCCGCAGCCCAAAGCCGTGCATAGCCAGGGTGGGGGTCCTGGGGCTGGGGGGTCCCGTGTCCCTTTTCCAGACTGCTCTGAGGGTCCTGGGGTCCCCTCTGCAAGGTTGTGAGGGGGTTGCATCCAGGGGCACCCTTCTGTAAGAGTTTGGAGGGTGGGAGGATGGCTGCAAGGAGCTGAGAGGGGGTCTTGAGACTCAACTCCTGCGCAGAACTGGGGGGCATCGTGGTGAGCCAAGGGGGGTCCCATGGATTCCTTCCACAGGGAGCCAAGAGGGGGTCCCAGGGATGAGAAGATGAGGGGAGCCCCCTGCAAGGAAATGGGAGAACCCCAGAGATCTCCCCTGCAGAGGAGTCCAAAGGACCCCTCCCACCATCAGCCAAGGGCTGTGCGGGTTCTGCAAAGGGGCTGGGGGCTTCCATAACCGCCCCCCTCTCCCTCCACCCCCGCGCAGTTCCCAACCAGGGGCTGCAGGCTTCCAAAGCATAGGGGATGCGATCGGGGCAATGGGGACCCTCTGTCCGGTGCTCCCTCCCCGGGGTCTCTCCTGGGGGTCCCGTGGGGGGGGTTTCCCCTCCACACTCACTGTCGGAAGAGTCTCTCCATGTCACGGAGCTGCCGCCGGGAGAACTCACGGAACTCCGCCGCGGGGCTGAAGAGCCTCCGGCCGCCCCCGGGCGAACCTTCGCTGCCCACCGCCCGCATCGCTGGGCTGCCAGGGGGCACCGGGGTGGGCTCTGCATCCTGCTGCTGCTGCTGCTGCTGTTGCTGCTCCGCATCCCCTTCCCGCATCCCCAACCGTCGGCCCAGCCGCTCCGCCAGCTCCTCCGCCATGGTGCCCGGATGGATGGATGGGCGAACAGACGCAGCTCCGCCCCGCTCCGCCCCAGCAGCCGCCTAGCAAAGGGGGGGGGACGCATCTTTTCGGGGCACCCCCAGCACCTCCAGGCTCGGGGGTTGCCAGCCTGCGAGTGTTCCCCCCCTTAGGGTCCCACCAGCATTGTTTGATGGTAGACGAATGGCACAGCCCAACCCAAAACCCCCGCAGACACAGGGTGCAAGAAGGGCATGGATGGGCTTCCAGCTCTGTGTCCACGGTATTTGGATCCAGGGGTTGCCCCAAAGTTGAACACAACCATGCTCAGATCTACAGGACAGCACCTGACCCCAAAACCTGCAGCAGGAGCTGCCTGTTGCACCCCACTGGGTACCCAGGAGCACCATGCCCCACTCAGGGCACAGACCTGGACCTGCTCTCCCCAGACACGTTCCAGTGCCACATAGTGTAGGCCGAGCACAGCTCCTTCTCTGCCTTCTTCCCATCTCGCAGTGCCTTGTTCCAGCTTCTCCCCCTTGCCCCCTCTTTTATTCTCCCTGTGCCCCTGTGATGCTGTGGGGACGGGCGAGCCACCGTGGCACAGAGATCAGACTTGACACCATCAGCTTCACCCACACATTCTGGCTGTATTCACATAAGCTTTCTTCTGCTGCTTTCCCTAAGCTCTACAATACACATCCTGCAGGATCATTTGGCCCTGGGCATGTCACGGTCCTTCCAGCAGTCCTGGTCACTGTAGGATGGCCTCACATAGGTGTTCTTCCCCCCGATACGTGCCTACATGGTGCCACGTCCAACCCCAACACAGTTCCTCGCTGTACAGCTCTGTGAGCAGAACGTCCCCGTGGTGCTGCTCCTATGGGCTGCCCATCACCTCGAGCTCTCCCACCACACGCTCCCTTGACTTCACCAAGAGGGATGGCTGCTGGGCTCTGGGCTGCAAAGCAGACATTGCATAAACTTAGGATCACAGAATCATTACGGTTGGAAAAGACCTCTGAGAGACCTTCCAGTCCAACCCCAACCCACCGTGCCCACTGACTGCATCCCTCAGTGCCACATCTCCACAACAAACACTTCCAGGGCTGGCTACGGTCAGGCCTGCCACGTGTGGGAGAGAACACGGCACAGAACCATGCATCATCCCCTTACATGAGATGTGCTCCCTGTGGCCACGGACATCTTGCTTCCAAGTCCCACTGTGCTTTGCTTTCAGTGCCTACCAGCGTGCCATACCTTCCCTCCACGTTCTTTGGAAGAGTGAGCACGGTTGGGCAGCTCCTTTTCCTTTCTCTTCTCCCCACTCTCTGCAAGGCTCTGGATAAAAAAAATGGAAAATCATCTTTGCATCCTTGCAGGAGCTGCCTTGGTTGTTCTCACACTGACATTTCCTACCCCAGCACTCCCACCTTGCGCTGCCGTGCTGCCTTTTTCAACCTCTTCTCCTGGCCCAGCTCTGCCCTCGTCCTCTCCAGAGCCTCTCTCAGCAGAGCTTTCTCTTCTGCTTCCCTGTAGACTTCATCTTCCAGTCTCAGCATCTCTTCCTGGCATGTTTGCAGGGACTCTTGGTTCAGCCTTTGGGAAACACCAATGTGGGTCTTCCACCACCACCCCAGCCCCTCTCTTCCTGCCTGGATCAAGATGAAACCTCCATTCGTGGTTTTCCCCCTGTGCACCCCATATGGGCACCCCATTGATGCTGCCTTGGCTGTGGTCCCTTCCCTGGCATTTCAGAGCCCATCTCCAACATACCCAAAGCAGAGCCCAGCATCCGTGGAGTTGGGTTGTGGATTCCTGCTGCCCCATTAAGCCATAACGTGCTACAGGCTCTCACACCATCACTCCTGGGAGGAACCCCCATCACCTTGCTGTACCTGAGCTGCTCGATGCTGGTCTCACACTCTTGGAGCCTTTCCTCCTTCCTTTCCAGGCGATCCTTCAGCTTGCTGATCCTCTCATACAACAGCCCCAGTTCTCTCTGTCTCTGCTGCCCCACTTTTTCCCTTTCTTCCTGGGGAAGATGCTCCATGGGCTGCATTCCTTCCAGCTCCTTCATATTCATCAGCCTTCCCAGAGCACAGATTAAGTCAAGGTACTGCAAAAAGAATAGAGGATGAATTATTTACCAGACCTGCCAAATCTTACTTCAAAAACGATTGCTGCACTCAGCCATCTGCTCCCACTCCGCTTTCATCTTTCGAGAGATTCAGATCCTGCATGTAAACCTATTTGTGCACTCCCAGTTTCGATTCTACATTGTTTCCCCTCTTAAGGAGTTACCCAGATGGGTTCATTCATTTGATCACTGGGAAGATGATGCCCCACATTATGGAGTGTTCCACAGCAGGGGGTTGGAACTGGATGATCTTGGAGGTCCCTCCCAACCCGACCATTCCATGCTTCAATGATTCTTTTACCACATCTGCTGCAGACGTACCATCCTCTCGCTGAGCTCTGAGTCCTCCAACCCTTCCACGCTCACGGCCCCACATGAGCTCCCATCGGGAAGTTGGCCCAGACACTGTGCAGAAGCAACATGCTGATTGAGCTCCCTGCACACTGATGGGCCCCACGCCTCCCTCCTGGTTTCTTTTCCCTCTTGTATCCCAAGGGCTTGATCTTCCCTTTCCATTGAACGTCTTTACACCAATGTCTACTTACCTTGCTGCACTTGAATTCTGCACCTGGCAGTGGAGTTGGTTCCACCTTGAGTCCTGCTTTCTGGGAGACCTTCTCTGGTATGGCTGCCTTCTGCACCACGAGCAGCTCGCTGGCCCTGCCCATGACAGCTGAAGGAAACCAAGCACCATGGAATCATGAAGCTGAGGTTGCCCCATTCCTGGCGATGCCCAAGGCCAGGTTGGATTGGGCAGCCTGATCTGGTGGAAGGGCAACCAGCCCACGGCACTGAATTGGAATTTGGTGACCTTTAAGGTCTCTTCCAACCCAACCATTCCAATTCTATGATACAACACCAGCTCTGAGACTTGCCAGGTGCAAAGGCTCCAGCCAGACCTGTAGTTGCATCTTCCATTCCTACCAAAGGCACATCACACTGTGCTTACCAGCAGCCTGTGTCTTCTCCAGCACCTTGATCCTCTCCCGGAGCTCCGCCAAGCCTTCTTTTTGCCGTTGGATCGTCTCCTCGTGCCTGAGGCCTCTGCATCTCACACCCAGGTTGGCCAGGTCCAATGCCAGCTCCTGGAAGTCCAAGCCCAGATGGTTCTCACCCAACCCAACCATTTATCCACAATCTCACACATTATTCCCTTTTACAACACATCTGTGCACTCACACTCACGTTTCACCCTCCCAGCCCCACCAGCACGACGACTGACATGTTACAGAACAGGGTGAGCACCCAATTAAAACCCTAATGAGAGCTGCCAGCTGCCACCGTGATCTCACCATCTTCACACTGCAGTGACAATTTATTCTCCTCTGGAGGATTTCTAGCTTCGTGTTTCTCACCACCTCTTGCTGAGAAGGAGGAAGGCACTGCCTCCTGCTCCCATCTAGCCATGAGTCACCGCTTGGCCAACACGAACCCTTCCAGCTGGCACCATGTCTGCTGCTGTTTCGGTACAGCCTGTACCATTTCTGCAGTCCCTCCATCTGCTGCTGGAACCACCTTTGATTTATTCAGTTCTCTAAGACTCAGGAATTCAGATGGTGATTCAGCACAGCATGGGAGAACTAGGACTGCTTCTCCCTTTCCTGCACAAGAAAATATGGCTCCCAAACAGTCACCCCAACCTACTTTTGCCGACATCCATTGTGGAGCAAGGTTGGGAAAGGGATGGAAGAGTTACAGATCTTTCAGGGAGCTGTTACAACTCTAATTGCCAATTACAGCGGCCGTTAGCATACACAACATCTGACTTTTTCAACGTGTCCCTGCAGGATTACCTGCTCAGAGGATTCCTCTGGTGTGGCAGGAATAGCCTGCGCCTGTGGAAGCATCTCCAGCTCTTCTGCCATTCGTCGAGATGCATCCTTGAGTGCTTTGCAGTCCTCTTGGGCTTCCCTGTGCCAAGAGACAGCAACCACGGTGTATGTCAGAGCATAGCACCAAGCAGGGATTTCATTACAAGTCCATTTGCACGAGCTCCTCACCTTCTCACCTTCAGAACATGGGACGTTTCCATAGAGTTAACGTAGCTTAGCTCGATTCGTTCATTCTCAAACCTATCTTTTGCCCCATGGAAGTTACCAACACGCACTCAACTCTTGGGAATCCACAGGCCATCACCTCCCAGCAGGTCCTACCTTAACTCTGCAGCTGCTGCTTGAAGCTCTCGATCCTTCTTTGCCACGAGGTCTGACATCTTCAACAGCTTCCCCCTGAGCATGCCCAGCTCACGCTCCTGGCTTTTCACGCAATGCAGGCTCTGCTCCAGCTCTGCCTTCTGCTTCTCACTGAGCTCTCCTAAGCACAGCAGAGTTGCCATGGGTTCATGACTCTCTCTGCGTTCAGCACAGCAGCATCTGTAGTTCAGTTTGACTGTTGAACCTGATGATCTTGGTGGACTTTTCCAAGCTTACTGTGACTATGATTCTGCGACACGGTTTAGTGGGCAGGGTGGTGATGGGTTGGCAGTTGGACTTGAGATCTCAGTGGTCTTTTCCATTTTTAATGATTTTATGATTCTATGAAATTTACATGGCCAAAGGGAATGGACATCCTGCTTAACCCAGGGCTGAACAACAGCATCATTTAGGAAAGTGGGTCTATTCCCTACTACCTGTGCATGCCTTTCTCCTACTTAGCCTTGCCATAGCTCTGCAGGAATGGGAACAGGCTGGATATCACACACACAGCTCACCAACCTCTCATGTCTGACATCCTGGCCCTGGTTTCTGAGAGCTCCTTCGTTAATCCCACAATGGCAGCCTCTTTGGCCTGGAGTAAGCTCTGCATGGCAGCCAGCTCTTCTCTGAAATTTGTGAGAAAGATACTCACAAATGTCATAGCTTCCAAGAAAAATTCACTTTGCAGAATCTGTGCTTGCCTCAGCCCCCACCCAGGACAACCCACGGGCAGGCAGCATTTACTGCTGTGCTGAGATCATCCCCTTTAGCTCCTCAAAGCTCTCCTCTGGATAACTTCTGTTCTCTAACACCCTCCAAAACAGAGCAAGCACTCGCAGGCACTTACAGACCACAGCAATGAGACTCTCTGGCCTCCTGGGAAGCTCCTGGTGTAGACCTGCAGGCATCATCCTGAAGTCCTATGGGGAATGATGGAAGAGGTCTTAGCAGCAACAGCCATAGGCCAGACACTTGTGTCTATCTTGGCTGCTCAGATCCAGGACCAACCAGGCTGTGAGAACACACTGGGTTCTGCAGCCTTATGAAGGCAATGCTCCATATATCCTCTCCTTTGTGACATCTTCACGTCCCCATCTCTGGAGACACTCAAGGTGGAGGGGCTCTGAGCACTGATGGAGCTGTAGGTGTCCCTGTTCACTGCAGGGGGTTGGACCAGATGGCCTTTATGGTTCCTTCCAACTCCAACCATTCTATGGTTCTATGATCTCTGAAGACCACAACCAGCCTCTCTTTGGCATGCCATGTCTCTTGGGCCATTGTAGCAGTGTTTACACAGTTCCTTAAGTCCTTCTTGGCACAGGTTCACTTCTGCTTTCTTGAGGGCAAAGAGCCCTTCTCCAGTGGGAAGGCCCTATCCATGCCAATGGTGCACCACCAAAAGTCACCAAATACCCCAAACAATGAATGGCAGCTCACAGTGAGACAGAGCCTTCACAGTATCACAGGGTTCTTTCTGTGTTCTGACCATCCTCACTGCTCTGTCTCTATTTGCCCCTCCACTTGCTGTGGGTACCCCCTGCCCAGCACCCATACAACCCTTAGCTACCTTTTATTCTTTCCACAAGCACAACGTTTTCCTCCTTTAGTGCCTTTTGCTGCTGCTCGGCCTCCAGCAATCTGTCTTCTAACGCAACAATTGTCCGAGAGTGTTGCTTAATTTGCTCTTTATATTCTGCTATTTCTTCCTGCATTTTCCATTTCAGTACCTCTCTCTCATCCTGGAGGATCTTGAGCTGCTCGTCTTGCACGAGTACCTGCTGCTTTAGCATCATCTAGGAAACAAGACGTGTGATTTCAGTTGTACACGTTATTCTGCAGAAACACGATGAGCATCACCAGCCAGGAATGAGGAAAGTTTGTGCAAGAAAACCGTATCTATGTCACATCCTCTGTGCAAAGTAGGGTTGCTGGAGCTACCTCTCGGGTTGTGGTTTCCTCTAGGTCATGCACAGCTTCTTGCAGTTTGAGATCCATCACCTCCTGCTCTTTGGACTTCCCTTCAATTATCTACAAGAGAAAAAGAGCAATGCTCAAGAAGATCGTAGAGACATGAATGTTGGAAAAGGCCTCTAAGATTACTAAATCCAACACCCACGATGCCCGTTAAATATGTGCCAACAACATCTCCACATTGAACACCTCCAGGGATGGTTACTCCATCACCTTGCTGGGCAGCCTGTGCCAATTCCCACCTCTCTTTCTGAGACACATCCAAACAGAGCCTCCCCTGGCACAACTTAAAGCCATCACCTCTCATCCTATTGAAGATGGATCTCCAACCATATACTTCTATATGTGTTTTCATGTGTGAGAGTAAAATATCCACCAAGAGATCCTGAAAACACTGCCAGTCCCATTGGAAACCAGTTCTGCTTTGCCTCCCACACACGTCACGGACCTCAGCCATACTTCTCAGGTGGCTCTCCAAGTCCTGGATCCTCTTCTTTTCTTCATCCAAGCATTGCTTGTGCTTCTCCTTCTCCTTCAGAACAGTGCTCTCCAGAATCTGAGATTGAACAGCCCACATTTTCAGTGAAGATAAAATCATAGAGTAAGGCAAACTAACTTGATTTAGGTGAGGAAAGCAATTCATAGGATCGTTGCCCTGTTGTGGGACAACTGCTCCCACACATTTTGATTTTGGGGCTATAGAATTCTTCCTCTTGCTAAGCAACACTGTTACATAGAACCTTTTTGCCTTTGGAAGAGGCCTTTTTCTGAAAAACAACCATGCTGCCATACCTTTGCCTTCTCCTCCTCCTTTCCCAATATAATCTCATTGATTTTTATCTGTAGGTCTTGCTCGTGTTTTGCTTTCAGCTCTTCCAGGTGCTCCTGCAGCAGAGCATCCCGTGACTCCTGGACCCCCTCTAATTGGGCCTATGGGGAAACAGCAGAAACTTCTGCTGACAGAAAGGCATTGGCAGCAGAGCAAAACAAAGCAAACAAAACAAAGCAGAGCCCACTGCACCTTGTGTGCGTGCACCAACAAACAATTCAGAAGAGAGCCACAAAGTCCAACTCATCCATTCAGCAACATGGACACAAGAGATTCCCCTCTTAAAATGAGGACATTGTCTTTTCTACTCTTAGGCATAATCTGGAGCTCCAGGGGTCTCTGCTACTGCACGTTTCTTATTGAGTTTCTACACTGGCTCTCTTCACTGTATCTCCATGTTCACCAGTGGTGGTCGGTGGTTCACCCATTCCCAACTGCATGTACACGTATCTACACACATGCACACATTTTAACCTGCAACATTTCATTCCTTCGTTCAGTTTCCTGATACTTTTCCAACAACCTCTTGAGACAAGCTGTCAATCCTGCAAAAGCAAACAGGGTATTACTTGTAGGGGCTTTTTGGGCATCTCGTTTTTGACACCATCAGGCTTCTTATTCAAATCTAGCACTGATGAAATTGCTGCCATCCCCCAGATATCTCAGGGAGATTGAAAAAAGCCCAGATTCTCACTGGGACATTCTATTTTCCTTATCAAACACTGTTACAATCGCTGCAAAGATTCATTTCCAACATGCCACCAGGGAAATAAAACACTACAACTGAATAACAACCATGGCAAGTCATAGAATCATTGAATGGCTTGGGTTGGAAGAGACCTCAAAGACTGAAGAACCATAGGATGTTTGGTTTGGAAGGGGCCCCAAGGATTATAGAACCAGAGGATGACTGGCTTAGAAGGGATCTCAAAGATCATAGACCCACAGAATGGTTGGGCTGAAAGGGATCTCAAAGATTATAGAACCATAGGATGGTTGGGTTGGAAGGGACCTCCAAGATCATCCAGCTCCAGCTTCCCAAACTCATAATTTGCAGACAATACAGTGCACACATGAACACCCACCGACCTCTGGGACCCCAATGGGGAGCAAAGAGTTGGGATGCCCCATGGGGCAGGCACCTTTCTTGGAGGTGGGCAGCTCCAGCCCCGTGTTTGCCAGCAGCAGTTCTGCTTCCTGCAGCCAGGACAGGACCACGTGTGTGATTTCCACCACTGCTGCATGTATGTCCAACACCAATGGGTCCACAAGCACGGCCTCCAGCTTGCTGAGCTCACTCCTCAAGCTGCTGCTGCAGAATGAGGCCCTCAGGAATACCTACAAAGAATAAAACCCATCAATGTGCCAGCCTCCACAATTCACATAATTGACAAATCACCTAAGATTTACCCATTCGCTGAGAGCTTTCATTCAATAATATCTTTGGGTAGGAGCAGCACAGGGGAGGATGCTGGAGTGGCAGGTTCTGTTCCCTTCAAACCAGTGCTTTCTGGGGGCTAAGCTCACCTCTCACAAGGCTTCCTACTGCTGATGCACAGGCATAACCTTGTCTCTGACCTGTCCTCAGGCCAACAGAACTCCTTGTGCCCCTTATCTCCCAGCTGGAATGTTGTAAACAGAATTTAAATGATTGACCTGGAGCTCACGCAGTGATTTTTTGAACACCTCCACATTTTCAGTCATCTCCTTTTCCTTTGAGAGCTTGGAACTTATTTCCTCCTGGAGGCACTTCTCTCGTGCCTGACTTTGTTGGTGTTCCTCCCAGATATGCTGGACCTTCTTGACTACCTGCCAAAGGAGAACAAAGCACCATGCACCATTCTTCAGCTGAGGAACCATAGAAGGAGTGGGTTGGAGGAGACCTTGAAGCCCACCCTCCTGCCATGGGCTGGTTTCCCCCAACCATCTCAGGCTGCCCAGAGCCCATCCATGACCTTGGGAACCTCCAGAGATGGGGCACCCACAGCTCCCTGGGCACCCACTGGGGCCAGAGACATACGTGGCAGTGACAAAAGCCTTCTGCAGTTGGTTGGCCACACTGGGTGAGCTCCTGGGCTTTTCCCAGTGAAAACTCCAGGATTCCAGCCAAGCTCTGGAGGAGATGGAGAAGAGCCAAACTTTCTTTATATTGTGGTGCACGGCCATTCATCTGGAGTGGCTACACTTGTAATATGTGAAGCTGGCTGGTGCTGTGGCTGTTCTGCAGTATTCTCAAACCCTAATGGGTTTTGGAGGCTCTGAGCATCTCTGAGATGGTCTCTGCACTCACCTGCTGCACTGTGATGGCCTTCCCTGCCTCTCCTGCTGCTTGTGGGCTGCACACTCGCATCACTTGGCTTTTGAAAGACTCTAGCTACAGCAGAGATTAACACAGGAAAACAGTAATCACTGAGAATCAACAAAGACTCCACTTCAGTGCCCTACAAAACCCTACAACAATCAACACTGAGAGCATCTTGGACCACGACCATCCTCTACCACAGAAGAAATCCTTCTGACAAGCCCTTCATGCTGAGCCTCCTGACCGGGTATAATCTGAGTTCAGTGCTCAGTACTTCCTTCCCCGAACTCACAATCTGCCTTCCACAGATGCCCTTTCCCACAAGGGAAGCAGCACTTTCAGTGCCTGCAGCCCACACCACAGGAACACCTCATTCCTCTCCCCTACCTGCCCATGGGCCCGATCCACATCAGACTTCAGCAGCCTCTCCCTGCGCCCCATCTCCTGCAGCTGCAGGGATTTCCTTTTGCAGGCGCTTTTCAGCTCCTCTTCCACCTGCAACAACAGAAGCATTTCAATATCAAAGCTCTACCAGTTGGGCTTCTACGTAGCCCAGCTAGCTACCGTTCCCATCAGATGGATGAGCTGCTACTTTGGGTGCTGGGGTTCACCTTGACTTTTTCTGCCAGCTGTGTTTGGATGGCTTTCTGCTCACTGTGGTACTTCTGAACCTCTTCCTGCAATCCCTTCAGCTCACATTCCAGCTCTCCGATGCGCTGCAAGAGTCCAGGACAGCAGAAAGTTTCTCTAGAGGAGCTCACTTGAGAATATGAAGGACAAGCAAGACATTCTACCCATCTCTCTCATTTCATTTACTCTGCTATTTTATTCCAACCTATTTTTACAGCTGATAGATTGATAGGTTGTATCTTATGACAGTGTCATCATAGGATGTCTTGGTTTGGAAGGGATCTCAAAGATCACAGAACCATAAGATGGTTGGGTTGGAAGGGACCTCAAGTATCATCCAGTTCCAACCCTTTGCCACGGGATGGTTGCCTCCCCATCAGCTCAGGTTGCCCAAAATCCCATCCAACCTGGCTTTGAGCACCTCCAGGCATGGAACATCCACAGCATATTTAGGCAACCTGTGCCACGGCCTCACCACATCCTGCACTGCAATGTAATATTCCATTTTTGCCAGGAGCTGACATTTACTCTACTTTGCTATGAAAGTTCAATCCTTTTCTTTACAGGAGTAGGATTCACAACACTTCTCTTACAATGTCATATCACCCCAAACCAACTAGAAACTCACTTTTTGGTAGGCAGCCATTTCCCTCTCTCCAAGTTCACGCTTCATTTCCTCTTTAATTCTAGAGCACTGGAACAAACAGCAACCGAGGGAAAAAATTAGCAGGCTGGTCAGGTACTGTCATTTCTGCTGGAGATGTCAACACATCCTACAGTCCTACAGGGAAGTGCTCAGCTGCCTGATGGCCAGTTGATGAGTGGGAGTGCCCATGATAGGGCAATCATGGCATCAAGAGCACGACGGCAACGACACGTTAACAGGCCCATATCTAATCATAGTTTGGCTGGGAGAGGAAAAATGCTGTCCAGGCAGCTTTCTGTAAGGGAAAAAAATAGGCTTGGCTGCAGGGAGCATCGCTAAGAGCGGGTTTCCATGGCTCCTCAGCAGGATCTTGGCACTGGTGCCCAGAGCACACAAACAGCCACAGTGTTCCTGAAATTCAGGTCACTGAGTACCTGCACGAACAACAAGGAGGGGAATTCATCTGGGGAACCCGACACCTTGCTGTGGGCATTTTGCAGTGTGCAAAGGCAGAGACACAGCCCTGCACTTACTGCGCTTGTGCTCAAAGAGCTGCTGGTCATGGAACCATAGAATCGTTAAGGCTGGAAAAGACCTCTGAGATCATCAAGTCCAACCCCAGCCCATCCCACCATACCAACTGGCCACGTCCCTTAGTACAGCATCTAAACTTTTCTTGAGCACCCCAGCATCACCTCCATGGGCAGCCTGTGCCACTGCATCACCGCTCTTTCAGTAAAGAAATTTTTCCTAATATCCAACGAATCCTCAACAGAGAGAAACACGACCCTTCTGATCTTTCTTTTCCATGCCAACCCACCTATGAGACCAGCACTGGGGACACTAACCTTGGCAGACACAGCTGCCAGCTGGTTGTCCTTTTCTCTGTTTGCCTTTTTTGTTTTTTCCACCTCTTGCTTGAGCTGCTGAATTTTCTGTTCTTTCACAGCAATCTCCCTTTGCAGGCTGGTCACGAGGCCTGATAACAACAATGTAGGGAGATGAAAACCAAGCATTTCCCTGCAGAAGCCCTCTGGGCACCGAGTGGCAAGCCTCCATCTCTGACAACTGCACAACTTGGAGTGCAGATCTGGCTCCTGGCACGCCGTGCTGGACATCATCCCACAGCAGCATCATTAGCGAGTCCCCCTGAGCCCTGCAGCATATGCTCCCTGGAGGATGAGCAGCTCTGATGGATCAGTTTCCATTACCTCTCTATGTCAGGGCAATTTTTAGGAGCCACTGCAAAGTATCTATTACCAGAACAGCCTTGCAAATGTGGGGTCACCTTCCAGAGCCAGTCCTCAGGTGCTCACAGCCCCTGCAAGGAGTTCTACCGAGGGAGAAAATACCTGTGGTCAAAGCGTGATCCCTCTTTAGCTTCTCACTTTCTCTTCTCAGGCTTCTCATCTCCAGGTCTCTTTCCTGAAGGGAATGGCTATAAACTTCACTCGAGCCCTTCTGCAGGTTGCTGATCTGAAACAGAGGACAATGCACACGCTTCACCAGCAAAACTTTTAGCTCCAGTGACCCTTCTTTTGCTTTAAGCTCAAAGGCAGCACCTTCCTAAGCCCCACAAAGAGCTCCCTGTTATCTGAAAGGCTTCAGCTTGCCATGAACCCCCACCCAGTCTCAGTTCTTGCAGAACAGCATGGTTGACCTGATGGCATTAAAGGAGAAACCCCTCCGGGTTACAATAACTCCTCCCATAGGACACCTGTGCCCATTTGGCCATGGCATACCTGCTCCTTTAAGGCTTTGATCTCTTCTGTTTTGGCCCTGATTTCTCCCTCAAAGGCTAGAAGCCTCTGGGTCAGCTCCACGTCATTTCTCACAGCAGCCATGCTCTTGGCCACCGATGCCAGTTCCCCCTGAAGGTCCCTTATCACCGTATCCTTCTGCTTTGATTCTGCTTCAAAAGCAGACAGACGGCCGATTTCCTTTTCCAGGCTCAGCAGCTTTTCATCCTGCAGGTAGATTCGGTCTGTTGGTCAGCAGATCTACGATTCTATGACTTTGCACAGCCCCAGCAGAACCATGGGGCGAACCCCTTGCCCTCTCCCCAGCATCACCTTTTCTTGCAGGGAGCAATCTGTGCTGTGAATCCCCAGGAAAGGGACTTCCATCCCACTGCTGCTTGAGTTGGTGGTCCAGGCTGAATGAAAGCAGAGAAAATAGCAGAAAACCTGCAGGATGGAGGCTCATTGCATCTCCCTCCCTTGTCTGAAAACCCTTCTAGGGCAGTAGTCAATTCTTAGTTCGTACTCTGAGCAGAACCCACTCATCTGGCACTAAAAAGACCCTTACCAATAGAGCCTACACAAGAGAAAGGAGTCATGCACTTCTGGGGAGCTTCAAAAAAACCCACAGACACATACAGACACAGTGGATGAAGGCTCCTTTGGTATTTCAACACCAGTTTCAAAAGCAGTTGGGTTTTTTGGCCAACCCCAAAGAAAGACGCTCTACGTTCACTGCTTATAGCACAGGAAGAGTTAAAAGATTAACACACACTGATTCTCTTGGCTCTATTTCACAAACCAAATGATGTGATCAAACCTGGGTGGGTGTGCTGTAACACATTCTCTATAGAACTCCTGTAAGGTCTCTCTACTCTGCCCAGGATCCTATTTTCAGCTGGATGCCAAAGGCCTACACTGCTGGGAGCTTCACTCCCATTACTGTCTGTGGAATTCCATGTTGTGCACATGGCTTTATGGTCTGCATAGCAATGTTCTTTGCTCTGGAGTATTATTTTGGTTGTTTGTTAATGACTTTGTCTTGCTAATGGCTGTTAATAACAGCAAAACCCCCATAAACTATTGAAATACAGCTTTGACCTTGGGGTGATTCCATTGGATATTAGGAAAACTTCTCTGAAAGGGTGGTTGGGCATTGGCACAGCTGTCCAGGGAGGTGGAGGGGTCACTGACCCTGCAGGTGTTCAGTGTGGAGATGTGGCACTGAGGAACGTGGCTGGTGGGCAGCTCTGGTGGTTGGCAGATGATCGGACTGGATGGTCTGAGAGGTTCCTTTCCAACCTGAATGATTCTGTGATCCTATGATTCTATCAGGAGTTGGGCTCTGTGACCCTTCCAACTTGGGATATTCAAAGGAACCACACAAATCACGGTGCAATTTGCTACAACCAGAAGAAGCCTCTTCCCATCCTACTGTTCCACCAGTTCATCCTACAAGCCTTCACCTTTGCTCCACCACTGCACGCTCCGCCTTTAAGAAACACATCAGATACGGATCTCTTTCACGTTCCTTTACTCAAGGCAGCCTGTGACTGCACAGCCAAGGAACCAACCCACTGCTTCAGTCAGGAGACCAGAATAGGTGCATGAGTCAGCGACGGAGATAAAGCCATCGCTGCTCAACATCGCGCACGAGGAACAAGGAAGAGGAAATGTCACCCTAACTTACCCAGGCGATGGCATTCCCCAGTGTTTTTTCACAGCACCTTTCTCAACCAACCCAAATGCCACTGCTAGCACGCAGGGTCCAATTAGCTTTGCTTGGTAAGGAATCACAACTAACTGGCTGTGATGCTCATCATTTATTAGCGTGCATCAAAACTGCCTCTGCTCAGACTAGCCCTGTTTGATGCTGAGAACCAACAGTCCCTTGACTGTCACAGCAAAATCTTTCCTGCAGCCATATGGAAGTACCTGGCCTCTCTGCAGGCAGCTGGTTGAGTGCATCCATTGGGATGGTTATGGTTGCACTCCTGGTCCACGCACTTACGGGTCGCTTGCGGAGTGGTGGATGGAGTGTGGGGCCAACCCAGGTGCTGGAGCCACGCTGGGATTGCAGCGAGGGGAGCTGGGCACCATGCTGGGGCTCTGCAGCCTCCTGTCCAGCCCATGACGTGCAACGCTGTGCCAGTGGGTAGGAGGGTTTCTGTTGGGGAACAGGACTGTGTTGTTAGTAAGGGGTAGGAGTTTTTTAAGCCCTTTTTCTGCAACATGAGCAGCTTAGCGGGAAAGGTAGAGAGAGCCAGCCTGCTTTACATGCTGTTATACATTCAGAGCTTGGGATTTATTTTTCATAATGGAGGACTTAGCTCTTGTGGCTGGGTGCTCCTCTTCTTCAGAGCGTGTTCATCCTTAATACCACTGAAAATGAGAGAGAGGCCTCCCTACATTAAACACTGTAAACACTTCACACAGCGAAGTGGAGAAGTGATTTACTCTCTGCAGTCAGTGGTGTCAGGCTTCAAAGCTGTTCTATCAAAGGAGGATCGTCAAGCCCAGAGCAATAAAGAGGCACTGACAATGCTTTTTCTGTGCCACTGTGCACAACTTCATTTTTGTGTGCAGGCTGCATGTCTGCTTTTGGAAATCAAAGTGCTGGGTGTTCCAGATGGAACAAACTTCACCTGCACAGCCTTAGCCTGCCAGGTGAATGGATTCATCCTGCAAAAATGCATTTTCTCCTCTCGGGCTGAGCATTCTGGGCACGTTCGTGGGGTCATCTTCCAACACAAAGAACCTTGTTGAGTCATCCAAAAGCAGCATCTGAGTACACAGGCTGCCATTCATTCACCTTGATCCTGGGCTGGGCAGCCAGGCACGCAGGTTTCCAGCACCGTTCTCAATCTCTGTTTTCTTAGGATTCCTCAAGAGCCAGGACAATAAAAATAAATGTGATTGTATTGATTTTAAGCACTTATAGCCCACATGCACTACTGACATCCTGAGATGGCCCTATTCCCAGGAATAGAAGACTTCCACTAAATTTGACCCCGTATTTACAATTGCTTTGGATTTCTGTTGTTTCCACAGGTCAAGCTGTGATGCTCTGGCGTTGCTGTGCAGAACAGAGCCTGCAGTTGTGCACGGCACTACCAAGAAAAGCACCAACAGTGTATTTGCTTATTAATTTGCTCTCATTTGGACCTTTAACGCTAGCATCTAAGGAAAGACTCAATGGAAAATTCAGTGGAAAGAGACCTAAAGCCCATTTCCCAATGCTTTCACACCTTCCCAAGACCTATCTCCACAAGTTCTGACGGGCTTGCCATCGGAAATCTGCTCCATGCTTCCTTCACCCCACCGAGTTGCCTGAATTTCTTCAGCAGAGGGAGCTCCAGCTTTTTATTTCTTGATGATTTAAGAATAAAAGTCCGAGAGCATGACACCCCCTTGACATCACGTAAAACCACACGCCCATTTCGGAGCCTGCCTTTACCTGGGGGACTCCATCCACCACCAGCTCAAAGGATGCTCCCTGAGCTCCGAAGCGCAGGATGTCTCCTGGTCTCACGTGCACGGCCACGTTCTGCACCTGGCAGCCATTCACAAAGGTGCCCTGTGGGGAATTGAGGTCCTGCAGGACGAATCCACTCTCCCACCCGGTGAACTCGAGGGCTGCGTGGTGCTCCCCTGCCCCTGCAGACTGACAGCAGCAAACAGTGGGAAAAACCTTGGAGAGCAATTGGGGCTGCGTTACCGGTGCGGATTTGCCCAGCCCTCTGGGTGATCTTGGAAGTCTTTGCCAACCTTATATCACAGAATCATAGAACCCTTCATGCTGGAAGGGACCTAAAGATCATCAGGTCCAAATCCCCGGCGCTGAGCAGGGACACCCACTGCTCCATCAGCTCTCAGAGCCCCTCCAGCCTGACCTTGGGTGTCTGCACAGATGGGGCACTTAGGCTTGCAGTGTGTCACCCTCCTTACATCCGAAGCACGAAAATGGGCAGTTAGCCCCTGTGCTGGGATTACACCCTTGCTAATGCCAGCATAGCTGTGCCCCTTCTCTCCCTCTAATTTCTGACACCTTTCCCATCCATCATCCACCCTCACGGCATGCTCACCCCTACCTTCAGGATGATGTCTGACCCTTCGTGTTTCCCTATCGTGGTTCTTTGCTGTTTGAGTTGAAAACACTCCTCCGAGCTCCTCAGGAATGCTCTCATGGCCTCGAAGACCAAAGCAAAATAAATCCTACTTAGTTAGCAACCCCCCATAACTGCAAACAACTCCAGCACCCCTCGCACCACTCTTCCTGCAATAAAAGCCATAACGTTATTGACAGAGCCTCCCTTTGCTCCTCCCTGCACCCACGGTAGCCAGGGAAACCTCTGTGACACCAAAACCCGGCCGCTTTCCTTCTTGTGTTTGTTTTGCTCAGTTTTTTTGTTGTTTTTTTTTTTCCCTTTATCCAAGCAACAGGCACAACACAGCTCTGTGTCATTGCAGCTCCTTGTTTCTCCAAGGACATCGCTTCTCCCCGTATTGAAACACAGTTTGTAGTGCAGCCTACCTGGTTTGAGCATGTCACAGTATATATATGTATATATCTTTTGCTTTTTCTCTTGCTTTTCACCTCCTGCAATGGGTTACACCATGTGGCCCACGAGGGCCCTTTAGCTTGTGGGGCTTCCTCCGCTGTGGAGAGGGGATTAATGGGGTTTAATTAAATGGAGATCGAAGCCTGGGGTGCTGTGAGTAGGTTTGAATGCCGATATGATGGCCTGGTGCATCCACAGGGCCCTGGGCACCATTTTGTAGGGCTTCCCCCCCCCCCCCCCCCCCATCCCTGTCACCATGGCAACCAAGCCGCCATGATAGCTGCCATTAGGGGTGAAGGCCAGGCCTCCCTCCTCACACCACCGTCCTCCTTCGCACACAGACCTCCCTCCACGTTTCAAGAGGAGGGCATCAATACCTCACATTATGTGAGATTCGGATCTCGGAACGGGCAATTTCATCTCCGCCAGCACCTGACAGGCTGGCAGGCTGTGGAAAGCACCACAAAACTCCCCGGGCACACGTTCCACACCCAGGCCAACACTAATGAGATTAACAAGGAGCTGGTGGGTGTTGCACTCCAGTTTATGGGTGTTGCAACACCCAGTGCTGAATCCCAAGAAACTCGACTCAACGGCACTTCCCCCCCACCAAACAGTGACTCAACCGCACATATATTGCACACAAAGGTTTTTCCTGTGTTTCTAAGATGACCTTTACCAGCCATCTTGTCCAATGAGAAGGGACGTGACACTGAAGATGGCTGCCACCTCTCCCTCTCCTTTCCCATTGCCTTCAGAAATAAGGGCTCTTCCAGTTGTCAGTACATTACCATGCAACCCTCACACTCCCACACCATGAGGAAAAGCTGCCAAGGAGCAGCAGAACCTCTTCATCCCTTCATCATCAACAGTGATAAACAAGGATCTCCGTTTCGCCTCCCCCAAATTTCCCTCATGTTTAAAGTGCTCTTTTTTTTTCGCTGTTGTGCCATTAATTTGTTTAAGGAAGTCCCTTATTATATGATTTGCCCACCTGTCATCCCTTGGGGCACAGTTCCCATTGCAATAATGGGAATGATGGGATAGAATACGAAGCAATAAATCATCACAGGTACCACCATATGGATTTGGACCAACATCTCATTCACACCTTTTTTTTTGGGGCCATTTGCATTCATCTCATACCTTTTACATCCCCAACCACCGAGCCAACCATCCCCACACCGACACCAAGATCAGCATCCTACAAACAATAACAGCATGAACATTTGGCTGGGGGACAGCGTGACTTTGTAGATGCTGTTGCCCAGGAGATAGCACATGTTTGGGATGCCCAAGGAGCAGCATCCACCCTTAACCAGTTGGCTGATTTCATACAGCTCTGGCCTTCGATCCATGGGAACGGCCACCTGCACGCACAGATGCACACACATACATGCACCCCACGTACAAAATATTTATTTAGAAAAGGACTGCTTGCACTGTATGGTCTTGTCATTTCACCCAGAACACCCTGAACAACTCTTGGCAGTTGTACACTATGGCAGTTTCCAGCCCCAGACGGACTGTCCCTTCGATTTGCAGCACAACACACAAAAGAGAAAACCATTGAGGCAAGAAATACAGTCCTCTCCTACAGGAGAATGGACAGTGATGCCAGTAAGAAACCTCCTATGGGTAAAGCCTATAGGTCAGACAAGCTTAAAGGCTTGTTTCATTCCTCTTTGCACCAGCAAGCATGCAACACCACAGGCACTTTGGCCAGCCCTGTGCCACTATCCCCAACCCCACTGGTGTCCGGAGTGGTGACAGCTACATCACTAACCTGACACTTTTACTTGCCTTGCTCAAAAAGAAAAGACATAAAAAAAGAAAGACAGAACGTTTCCCTTTTTCCTCTTGGAAAATTCTTATTAAATAGCAGTTTGGTGGCTTGGAAATCCATTGCTGGGGCAAGGCACAAAGGAGAGAAGACACGTTAGGTGGTCCTTAACTTGAAAAAACGCAGAACACACGTCTGACTCTTCCAGCCTTCACATCCTTCACAACATCATCGTTTCCCCGTGGTGTTTGACACAACGCTGTCCTGGGAAGACCCACTCCTATTTGTGCAATGCTGCAGTTCCCTCCACATCAGCACCTCAGCATCCAGAGAGCATCCAACACTCCTGCACTCCATGACCAGCCCTCTCAGAGCGTTTCCAATCCGCGCAATGACCAACCCGTCCTTCCTAAGTCAACTGTTGGCTTCCAGGTGCTTTTTCCTGGATATCCTCATACTTTGGAGGTGGGGTCAACGGCTCAATTGTGATGGGGCCGGTGCTGCTCCCATCACCGAGGTTGAGCCTGATGTCCTTGAGATGCAGCTTCTCCGACTTGATCCTCCGCACCTTGAGGGGCTTCAGGCGCTTGCTGAGACGCGAGTTGTGCCGGCCTGGTGGCCGTTCGGTGCCAGGCTCTGCGCTGGCTGCTCCTGGGGGCTGCGTGCCCTCATCAAGCCCTGTCAGTGATTCATAGGAGGGCAGTGAGACACTGATCCTGCGGTTCCGCTCCGGGTCGTGGGGCTCTGAGTAGCCTGTATTCATCACCTCCTCGTAGCTGGGGACGTAGTAGCGGGAGGACACGTCTTCATCCTCTTCTTGGCTGCAGGAGATAAAGAGAGAACATCAGCCCCACATCACTTTGACTGCAGTGGGGCATGGGATAGAGAGAGGTGATGAAAACACAGCCAGAAATAAAGGACAGAACATTGGCCCTTCTATGTTATACAGCAGTTTGAATAGACTGCAACGCCACCTATGTTCAGGCATCTTTCTACTGCCTTCACAGAACCACAAAGGTTGGAAAAGATCTCTCAGATCACCAGGTCCAACCCCAACCCACCCCCACCGTGCTCACTGACCACTTCCCTCAGTGCCACAGCGCCACACTGAAAGCCTCCAGGGATGGTGACCCCACCACCTCCTTCATCACTGTTCACTGCTCCTTCTGAAAAGCACTTTTTCCTAATATCCAACCTGGATGCATACCAGCTGGGGTTCCATCCCACAAATGTGCATCCGCCTGCACGCTGGTACATGCACACCTACACTCTGCACTGCTCCTGCTTTAGCAAGTTGCTTTTAAGTGACGAGGTCCTGTGGTTGGACTGGATGATCTTAGTGGTCTTTTCAACACTAATGATTCTACGAGTGGGCATGGTGGGGAGGGGTTGACATTTCTTATTGGTCTTTCCAACCTTAATGACTCCATAGCCCCTCGCCTGCTCCACAGCAGCCACCCATCTCCTGGGGTTAACAATTAACAGCATCTCCTTGTGCCACCCCATGAGTACTGACCACACAGGCATCCAACGGCTCAGCTATGCCCACTTGGCTTCCAGAGCACATCTTATATATATCCACAGTGCTTCCTTTCACCCACACCACCATCAACACAGCTGGGTTTGCTTCTCCCTGAGCTTGAGCTCCTGCTGCCCCCCCAGGACTCACCTGTCCTCCTCCTGCTGCGAAGGCTCCACGGATGCTTGGTGCTGCACCACCCTGGGGATATCCTCGCTCTGCCTCTTCTTGTCACGGACATTCAAGCAGAGAGACAGCAGCAGCAGCAGCAGACCTGCCCCAACCAGCACGTAGGCCACAGAAAATGTCTTGCTCTTAAAAATGCCCCCACCACCGCGGTCGGGCTTGCTGCTATTCCCAGCATTGGGTTTATCGGGGTGTCCGAAGCCAGGCACAATGTTCCACACGGCCAAGATGATGCCCAGGATGAGCATCCCCATCCCGATGGCTGTCAGTGCGTAGTGTGACCCGTTGGTGCGAGATGGGGCCATTGTGTTTTGGCCACCTCACTGCATCCCTGGTGGCCCCGGGCGGCTACCATGCGTGCGGTGCTCGGGCAGAGCAGATGGGCAGACCTGCAGAGAGACAACACTGCTCCAGTGGGTGCCCCCTGACCGAAGCACTTCGCTTTGAGCGCTCTGGTTCAGAGCCAGCCAAGCCAATGGTGCCTATCCATCCTGGACGGGATGCCTGCATTTCCCCAGCCACACACACGGGATGTGTACTTCCAAAAATAAACACATGCAACTGCATCTCTTGGCAGCTCGCCTCAACCTCAGCATGCAGGGATGGCAGCAAGGAGCGCAACCTCACGCTGCAAGCTGCATGTAGGTAATGCAGCAAGGACCCCAGATTTCCATGTCACGGTCTGACAGCAGCATCCCATGGGTGCCAAAGCCAGCAAGCAGCTGTGCAAACACCGCCACTTTGTTTTCCTTTCTTGGCTTTGCAGTGCTTGTTTGTGCAAGGAGCCCTTGGACAGGATGCTGCTGCATGCTTTTCCCATATACGCCTTTGCTCCACGTCGTGGCAATCTATGCCGTTGGTCCCTGGTTCGTGTTTGCTTGTTTAGCTTGAGAGCATGCTGGGTCGCTGGGTCATGGCTAGAACTGAGCAGCATTCCCAGAAAACAGAGCAACTTGTAGGAAAAGCCAGGCAAGGAAATGGGGACCGTTAAAGGCCATCAAGTTCAACGGGGACACAGAGCAAACTTCCCCATCTCAGCCCTTCGCTCTTAAATTCCCCTTTGGATGCTCCCAAAGGACTCTCTCTGCATTCAGCTCAGCCCCAGCCCTGCTCCTCACCTCTCCTGAAGTTCCAGCCCTAGAAAGCAGCCCAGTGAGGACACGCCAGGTGTTGCTGCTGGAGCCTTCATCATCCACAGCTGCTCCCTGGCACCAGCACTCCCTGTCAGAAGGTTGCCTGACAGCCCCCAAGCCCCAACTAGAGCCCACTGTGCCGTATTGGCAGCTCCATGCCATGCCTTGTGCTGGGGACAGCATCCATGCTGCAGGTGGCTGTAAACTCGACAACCTTTGTGGGTGTGGAGCTTATTGCAATGGGGAATTGCATCACACGTCCCGCTCCTTCCTCACCTCCTGCTGCATCCGGCCCCATTCCAAGCCACACCAGTGCCATCGAGACAAAGCGATGGCCCCCATGTGCCACTCACTCCCCTACCAACAGACTCCTATCCTCAAGCAAGCTATCCATCCAGCAGAGCATCGTGCAGGCACTGAGCTCCCACCTGCAAAGCTCTGCCAGGGCTTTGGGGGAGGAGAAATCACAGCACTGCATGCCCTCAGCCACAGATCTGTGGGGAGGGGCACGACGGGAAAGGAACAGAGCACTCATTTTGCTGGAGGAATGGAAGGTTTCCAAAAGCAAAGCACCTTCCCACCATCTCCAGCTTCCCTCTGGCACCTCTCTAAGCTGCTCCGTCATTGCAGCGTTGAAAAGTTTGGCCCAGATCCCTGCCCTGCAGGGAGGGCAAATCGCATTAACCCACGCGGCGACGTCCGTGTCTCTCTCACCATCTAATTATCTCTACTTTAGGCTTATCAGAGCTCGCTGCCGTAGCCATAGCCCCACTGCTGTGACGTCAATGGTCGGAGAAGGAGGTCTGGAAAAAGCAGTGCAGCCTCAGTGAAAAGGGAACGTGGCAGCATGGGGAAAGCTGCAGCACCTCCAGGAAAGCACCAAACCAAAGCCTTACTATGGCCAGAAATGCACCTCCAGTTTGGCAGTGGCCGTGGACATCCATCCATCCATCCATCCATCCATCCATCCATCCATCCAGTCATCTAGAGCAAGATGAAGCAGTGCAGAACAGCTGCCACGTGTCCTCCTTGCTCTGGCAACCGGCGGCAGGGAATCCTCAGTCCCGTGCTGCAATCCAGAAACCCTCCAAGATTGTTCTGCAAACGTTTTCCCCACTTTGTTCACTGCCGTCGTGAGCCACCACCTGCAACCAGTCTGTACTCACCGCCCTCACCGCTCTGCTCCCACCTCAGTGGTGACATGGGGACATGGGGACATGCCCTGTGTCTGTGTCCAGAGCTCCAGACTTCCCCACAGCCAGCCCCCGCCCCATAGCCAGCCCCACACCAGCAGCCCCAGCCACCTTTGTCCCCATCCCACGCACACCTGCGGTCTTGTGCTCACTGCTGTCAATGATTTACATCAGGAACTCCGAATCATTAAACCAGAACGGCTCCGTGTGCACTCAGCTCCTTTTACTAGAAACCACGGCAGTCCTCGCTGCTCCCCATAACCAATCCACTGCATCCCCTTCCTGCTACTGCCATCAGGTTGCAGCTCCAAGCCCTGCTCAGGGTGAAATCCAGGGTTTTCCACTCCCTGGATGAGGTCAGAGATGGATGCTCATCCCATTGGGGCCGGCCACTGGCAGCATGCTCAGGTCATGAGACATTGGACCATTTTCACCTTGCAGGCAAATGAGCTCAGCAGGGGATGACACACACAGCTGATGACCAGCGTGGTCCTGGGGCTGATGGTGGCTCAGCATCTGCCTCTGACAACTTTCAGTATCGAAGAAACATAGAATCATAGAATGGTTGGGTTGGAAGGGATCTTAAAGATCAAAGACCCATAGAATGGTTGGGTTGGAAGACTGTAGAAACAGAGAAAACCTGGGTTGGAAGGAACCCCAAAGCCCATGCAGCCCCTACCTTTGCTATGGGCTGGCTGCCCCCATCAGATCAGGTTGCCCAAATCCTATCCAGCTTGGTCTTGGGCACTTTCAGGGATGGGGCATCCACAGCTCTCTGGTATTTTGCCCAAGCCCCGAACTCTGAGGCTCCCCACACTGTGGATAACTCCTCCCTGCACCTCCCCAGCCCCGGGAGCAGGCAGGCTGATGTCAGCTCCAAGGCATTTGCCTTCATGTCCATATCTGCACCCGGGCAGCCTTCTCATTAACGATTTCTCCTTCTAATTTGTGAGCTCAGCCCATCCCCACAACCCTCTCCTCCACAAAGTCCTGCACGCGGTGATATTCAGCCGCCCCCTAACCCAGAAGAGTGGGAAACACCCACAGCTTCTCCCTGCTGCCAGTTTGTGCAACTCCTGTTGGCTTTGGCCAACCTCCAGCCACCTCCATCGCCACTCACTGGGCAAACGGCAGCAAGACAGAGGGACAGGCCGTGGGGTTTTGCTTCCTGCCAGCAGCGATTGGCACTAATTGCTCCCCGCGTTCCAGAGAGGCACTTTCGGAGTTATTTCCTATGCAGGTATTCGGCTCACCCACCCCTCCCCACGGCGCTTCCCCAGGAGGTGCCCACAGCAAAGCGGCGCCTCTTCCTGCAAAACCGGGTGCGCTCTGCTTTCTGCTCCCAATCCCTCTGCAATCTCAGAGCCCCCTTCGATTTTGATTTAAAGGAAATAAAAACAATGGCCAGAGTGAGCCAGGCTGCACGCTTCCCTTCCATGGAGAATTGCCCCAAGCTTTGCCCTTCCGTCATGTTTTGGTTCCGGGCTGGTTCAGAACCAACGGCAATCGCAGCGGCTGTAGAAAAGCCTGAGCCAAACAAACCAGCCTGGGGAACTCCCAGCACCCTGACCTGCTCTCTTCCTGCTTTGCACAGCATTGTATTCAGTACCTTTGGTTCGCCGGGTTTTTGTTTTTTTTTCTTTCAGATTTCCTGATTCTGACTTTTCGTGCCGCGGATACAGGAATTAAAGGCGTCACGTGGGCTCCGCTCTGCCAGCTGAGAGATCCAGCCCATCTCCAGCAGCAAACCCTCTTCTGAAACTCACAGCACCATCCAGACACCACTTGGACACCACCTGGATACCATCTGGACGTCATCCAGACACCATATGGACACCATCCGGACACCAACCGGCCATGAAACTCATCGGGATGAAGACGTGCATTTGGGATTGGGCACCCAACCCTGAGCGAAGCACACAGATCTGCTTTGCCCAAGCTGCTCACTGATCGGTCTGTTGGAAGAACTGCAGCAATACTCCCAACAGAAACTCCACGAGCACCCAGCACCCAGCTCAGTCCCGCCCTACAGAGCCACCTCAAGCTCTGTTTGCTCTCCAAACACTGCAGCTCCAGCAGCCGTGTTGTGCTCTGACCCCAAAGCACCATTGGGTTCAGTGTAAGGTTTGCCATTTCCCACCCCTTCCTGCATTCAGGACAGCCACCTGCAGTGCCGCAGGGTGACAATGTACCCCAAGCCCCATCTCCGCCCCACATCTCCACCCCATATCTCCATACATCCCCATGTCACTGTGCCCCTCATCTCTGCCCCACCTCTCCACATCCCCCTGTGTGGCACTGCACTCCTGCTGGCCACAATGCCAAATCACCCCATTTCCCAATGTCCCCATGTCTCTGTGCCCCCCATATCCCCAAGTCCCTCTGCCCCCCATCTCCACCCCACATTACCATCTCCTGCTCAGCACTGCGCTCCTGCAGGCTGTGATCCCATAACCCCACGTAACTCCACACGACCCCATACCCCCAGCTCTGTCCCATATCCACACATAGCCCCCCTACATCCATGCCCGCCCCACATCCCTGCCCCACACATCACCTTCTGCCCGGCGCTGCACTCCTGCAGGCTGCATCCCCATATGTCCTCATAACCCAATGTCCCCATATCCCCCCATATCCTCATACCACCCCACACCCCCGCGCCCCCCAAGTCCCACCCGTACCCCACACATTACTTTCTCCTGCTCTTTATGCTTTCCCCACGCTGCCACCGGGGGACAACACCCGCTCCCATCCCAACCCTTGTCCCAATCTCATCCCATCCCGGAGCCACAACGCCGCCCCAGCCCTACCCGGGTCCCACAAGACCCCGCTCCCCTCCCGGCCCCACGCAGCCCCCTGGACGCCACGCACCTCCCGACAGCGGCAGCGGCTCGGATCCTCCCCGGGGCGGTGCTGCGATGCCGGGGCCGGGCTGGGAGCCTTGCGCTCCGGCTGCAGCCCCGGCTCCGCCCGCTCCGGGCTCCCCCTCCGCCTCCCCCGGCACTTCCCTTTCCCACGGGCTCAGAGCGCTGCCCATTATTATTTCCCATTATTTCCCACAAGTTCTCCACTATTTCCCATAATTTCCAGTCATTTCTCATCATTTTTCCATTATTTCCCACTTCTTCCTGTTTTTCTCCATCCTTTCCCATCTTTTCCCCACTATATTTCCATTATTTCCCATAATTTCCCATTATTACCTACTATTTCCCATTATTTCTCTTTTATTTCACCCTATTCCCCATTATCTCCCACTATACCCATTATTTCCCCATTATTCCCCATTATTCCCCATTATTTCTCCATTATTTTCCCATTGTTTTTCCATTATTCCCATTATTTCATTATTATTTTCCATTATTGCTCCATTATTTTCCATTTTTTCTTTATTACTTCCCACCATTCTTTCCCATTCTTTCTGCATTATTTCCCACTATTTCCCATTATTTCTCCATATTGCCCCATTATTTCCCACTATTTCCCATTATTTCTCAATTATTTCCCATGATTGCCCCATATTTCCTCATTATTTCTCAATTAGTTTCCATTATTCCCCCATATTTACCCATCCCACTATTTCCCATTATTTTCCTACATTTCCCCATTACTTCTTATTACTACCCACTAGTTCCCATTATTACCCAGTATTTCTCGTTATCTCTCCATTATTTCCCACTATTTCCCCATTTTTCTCCAATACTTCCCATCATTTCTCCATTTTTCCCATTTCCCCCTACGGTTACCCACAATTTCCCATTATTTTCCTATTTTCCCCATTATTTCCCATTATTACCCACTATTTCTCATTATTTCTCCATTATTTCCCATTATTTCCCCATATTTCCCCATTTTTACCCATTACTTCCCATA